TAATCTTTTCCAGGTGGGCGGAGATTCTCTTGTCGACTCGATTACTAGCTTACTTCGCAGCATTTGGGGTGAATCGTTGATCGTCCCGATCTTCAAGAAGGGATCATGCAACAACTGCGCTAACCACCGCTGGGTTAGTTTAGTTGTGATAGTCACACAAGTGTTGACTTCTGTTCTACTTCATCACCCGACACCCTTAAGGGAGAGGAATATCCATGAACAACAAGCCGGATTCCCACCAGGTCGCGGGTGCGTAGACCAAATATTCACTCTGCGTCAAGTCCTCGAACGGCGCTCCGGGCTAGAGGGAACTCCATGGAGGTCAACAGACTAAGTAGAGACAAGGCATGAATAAATGCACAGAGCTAGTAGGTGGAGTAGGTGTCTCGTATCTTCCAGGTTGGGGTCCGAAAGACTCCACAACTGGTTTGTTGGAGACATTGAAGCATACGGCAGAGAACCGACAGTAGTGGCGTTCTTGTCATTTCTTATCAATTTATAATGCTTGAAAAGGTATGTATGCACACTTAGATTGTATACTCTGTGTGTTGACCGTAGAGGTTCTTTTTCTTTGCCTCTCTCCAAGTAGGCCCAATTCTTCTCTGTCTTGTGTTTTATCATTTGATTTGTGTACATTGTGAGCTTGGCAGCGATCAGTGAAGTTCGCTTCACTGTATCTCGCTGTCGATGATGATGATGATGATGATGATGCAACAATGTTTTTAAAATCTTACCTGGCACGTGAAACATAATGGTTAAGGATATGACATTTTGGGAATATAGATCACGCAACATTTTTTTCAAGTTTCGGGCATCAAAGTAGCTTAGAATGGATCAGCTGTTCGTTTCCGCTGTACCAGTGTTGTCGTCCGTTGCGCAGCTTATTTTCCCGTACAGGGATACAGGGGTTGACTTGATAGACCTCACCCCAGCCTCCGAAAGAAGGGCTTAACTCGTGTGACGGCTGCTCTGTTTTAGTTTCTCAAGCAATTAAACCTGTTTTCC